TCCACTTCCGGGAGAAAGGGAGCACGGGAAGCTGCTCTTCTTCCCGTTGAGGGGTGGCTGGGGGGGTCACCTCTGTGCAATTGGAGGGCGCAATAAAACCTGCTGGCTGCGTCCCCCCCCCCCCCAAAGACTGGTCTGTTCCACGTGCGAGATGTGAGAGAGGGGCTGGGGCTCAGTGGAAGAGCCTCTGCTTGGCATGCAGAAGGCTCAATCCCTGGCATTTCTAGTTAAAAAGGACTAGGTGACATGAAAGACCTTCGCCTCAGACCCTGGAGAGCCCCTGCCAGTCTGAGCAGACAAGACTGACTTCTTCGATGGACCAGGGGTCTGATGCAGCACAAGGCAGCTTCGTCTGTGTTCACGGGTGTGAGCCATCCCCATTGTGCCTTAGGGCTCAGAGTGCTCTGATCTGCCGCCTCTCCTTTTTGTGTTGGAGCTGCGCATTCGTAAGATGGCCATTTGCCTGCCTTTGTCTTTCAGCATCTGAAATCACTCCAATTATAAGTACAGAAGGGATCACTTTCTAGCTGTATCTGAAGAAGTGAGCAGCGACCCGCGGAAGTTGCCACAACTCTTGTTAGTCTTTATGGTGCTTCTGGACTCTTGCCCTTTTCTGCTGCTTACGAGGCTGGTTTGGGTGGGCTTCTCTCCTCTCTTAACCCCCACCCTTTTCTCTGTGGAGGCTGGGAACCTTTGTGGCCGCTGGATCTGTGCCGTTAAGTGCGCCCTCGTGGCAGTGCGGCCGATTGGGCTGTAGGGGGCGATGCTGCTCTTCTTGACCTTGCTTTCCGACCTGGAGTGTGGAGCACGTGTTGCTTCTAGGGCTCAAGGGTACACAATCGGTGATTCATTAGTCTCCCTTGCTCTCTTCAGCATGGAATTTGTAGCTGCTGCTGTCTTTCTTTTTCTTCCTTAAGCAAGGCTGGGCCATTTCTGTAGGTCCTCCTGGCAGTACTTGAGTACGGTTTACTCCTGAGATACTGATATCTGCTTTCTTTAAAGATAGATTCAGGTGGGTCACCGTTTTGGTCTGAAGCAGCAGAGCAAAGCTTGAGTCCAGTGGCACCTTTCAGACCCACAAAATTTAATTCTAGGTTTAAGTTTTTGTGTGCATGGGCAGATTGGCCTAATGGATTTGCACTATGTATCTGAGAAAGAGAGTTTTGATTCCTGAAAGATTATACTGGAATAAGTTAGGGGAGGGGCTGTGGCTCAGTGGAAGAACTTCTGCTTTGTATGCGGAAGGTCCTAGGTTCAATCCACAGCATCTCCAATTAAAAGGATCAGGTTAGGGTGATGTGAAAGACCTCTGCCTGAGACCCTGGAGAGCAGCCAATCTGAGTAGACAATACTGGTTTTGATGGACCAGTGGTCCAATTCAGTATAAAGCAGCTTCATGTGCGTTCAAACTCTGTTAATCTCTAGACTGCCGCTGGACACCTGCACTGTTTTGTAGTAAGTTCTGTTAATTCATTTATCCTTACTTCTATGTTGAACGCTGGGGAGGACGTACTTCAGTGCATTGTATTTACCTCAGAGGTTTCTAGTTGCCTCTTTCTCCTACATTGTCAGTAGCACTGTCCATGGTATTTTAATTTCCTTTTTATTTAAAATATATATATATTTGGATGACTTCAGTTGCTTTTTGCAAGTTATCTCAAGCTCATGTAGCTGTAAATACAAAGCTCATAGCATAGATTTTTTTCCTGCTCTGGAGTATAGTTCTGTGAGGTTGACTTATCTTTTTTCCCTAACTTGTTTTTATAGAAATGCTGCGTTTACCAACAGTGCTTCGCCAGATTCGGCCAGTTTCGAGAGTTCTGGCCCCACACCTTACACGAGGCTATGCAAAAGAGGTTAAATTCGGGGCAGATGCTAGAGCTCTTATGCTACAGGGAGTGGACCTCCTAGCTGATGCTGTAGCTGTCACCATGGGGCCAAAGGTATTGAAATCGTGTTACTTGTATTATGTTAAACCTTGCGTGAAATGGCTGCCACTTGAAGGAATTACAGCAAGATCCAGGCATCTTGCAGACACTTGAGGTACAGATAATCTGCAACAAAGCCCTTTTAAGCTCAGTGATTTCATGGGAGAGATAATGGGCGTAAAAAGCACTTAACTTTGACTGGATTATGCCACAGGTGCCATGATTAATATAGTAGTGGGGGTAGCCAGACAGTCTCCTAACCTTAAACAATTTCTTACAACAGTGTCCTTCCTGTCATGGATACGGACTCTGGAACAAAGGCCAGCCACAAAACAAGATGCCGACTCTGTCTCCGTGTTCATTTTGACAGCATAATTACTAGACCATGTCAGGTGCCTTTACTTGTTCATCTTCCAGGGCTAGATACCCTATCAAGTGTCAGCAGGGTCCTTCCACCTTGTACATGGGACAAAGAAGTCAGTCCCTACTTAAAAAAAATTAATAGACATAAATCTGACATTACAAATCACAACATTCAAAAACCAGTGGGAGAATATTTTAATCTTCCAGGTTATTCCATTGCTAATCTAAGGCCCCGGTCACATGGGCCGGATATCGCGGGGGGGGGGGCGGCGTGGCTAATTGCCACGGCGCAGTTTGATCCGTGATTATCTGATCAGATGCGCTGGCGGCACTACACGGGTCCTTCCCTTAGAGCCGGCGGGGAAAGCCGCGCGCCAGCACGATCACACCGCAGGCATCCTGTGGCAAACCGTTTGCCAGTACTTTGGAGGTACTACTTTTTTATTGCGTGTTTTCTGTGGTAAGCCACCGGTTGGCCACGGGTGCGCTCCACTTCCCAGATGTTGGGGTGTGATCGCGCGCGGATAATCCACCCTCCACCCGTGGCTCTCCCACAGCAAATTTGCTGTGTGGATGGGGCCTAAAAGTGGCAGTCCTCAAACAGAGACTTTTCAAGGGGAGAATATAACATGATATTGCTGAACTTGAGTTCATTTACAAATTCAGAACAACGGTCCTCCTATTGGGATATTTGGTTAATCTAGCAGAGTTTTGCTCAGTCATAGAAGCATCATACTGAGTGCAGTACATAAATCGCCCAAGAAGAGAGATTGGATTTATACCCCGCCCTTCACTACCCGAAGGAGTCTCAGAGTGGCTTACAAACTCCTTTCCCTTCCCCTCCCCACAACAGACACCCAGTGAGGTGGGTGGGGCTGAGAGAGCTCTCTCGAAAACTGCCCTTGAGAGAACAGCTCTGAAAAAAACTTATGACTGACCCAAGGTCATACATTGCAAAAAAAGGTAAACTTACATTTATTCGAGTAGATCCAGTTCACATTCAGGTTGCAGTCGAAAGGAGAGAAAGGAGCTCAATCTAAAGGGTATTTTCCCTATCACCAATGGCCAGCTTGTCAGGAATTGTGTGTGTGGGAGTATGTGGCCATTGTATCTGCAGGAGAGACCTGCAGAGACATGTGTCTTCATGGAAGGCCACGTGAAAGCAGTGAGAGGACAAAGTGTGAGAGAGGAGGAGTCAGAGGGCGGCTCCCAGGTTAAGACAAAGCGAGGCATCCCATTCAAGGAGATAAATGCCTATACACACTTGATGTAGCACCCCTCAATGTCCAAGCATGCTGAGTCACTCCAAACCTCTCCCCCTAGGACTGAATAGGGACACAGGATTCTTGTCCCACTAGAGATGCTTATTTTCTGCCTCTTAAGCATTTCTTCTTTGCTCTAATCAAGCTGATTACACTGTGCATTGAACCCCTGCATCCCGTTCCTCTTTATGCAACCCCCTCCCACCTTCTGACTGGAATATGAGGTCTCCGGGATCTCCTTTGTGTCTGACAAAGAGAGGTTTGACTCTCAGAACGTTAAAACCAAAAGCTTGCCGGCCTCGAAGGTACTTCTGGACTTGGATCTAGACAATTAAAGTAGCTTGCAATATCAACTGTGTAATTTGACACATGCACGCTCATGGAGGTGAATTAGACTTTGAAGCCAGGAGAGCATGTAAATCAAATATGTACCTTTTGCTTGCTGCTTTCTTTCTCTCTCACACACACACCTGTGTTTTAGTACAGTCTTAAGCACTGGTACATCTTTCTATGGCCATCTTAGCACTTCAGCGGCTTGGGAAGGGTGTTCCTCTGCTTAGGATTGCCCTGTTAAAGGCCATTTAAAGGTTTTAAGGCGGGAGAAGCCAAGCTGCGTGCCCAGCAAGAAGCTTCAGGGAACTGGGCCTGGGCGGCCACTGCCCCCATAAAGCAATATGGGGCGCTGTGTGTCCCTTCTCTCCAATGGGCAACTGGACTTAATGTTCATGTTGTTACCAAAATTAAAACGTTTTTAAAAAGAAGGAGTTGGCGAGGCTGCGCAAGCTTCTGTGGGGGCCTTGCCCAGATTTCTAACAGGGTTTGTTGTTCCAAGGAGGGCGGCGACAAGGATTCTCTCTCCGTATTTGACCTCCTGTTGTGCTGGGGACACAGGACAGGCACAATGGCCGGTTTGTGCTTTTCCCTTAGCATCCAGGGCCCAAAGAAAGCAGCACGAATGGTAGGGGAGAGGGAGCAGTGGACTGACCACTATTCACGCACTTTTAATAGCATTTTAATACAGCCTCGTTTTTGCTTGGAAGACACCTGTTGAAGAGGTCGCACTGTGGGAAACGCTAAACTCTCAGTTCTTGCAATCTGATGGAAAACTGTATCCACCTTATTAGTAGTTTGGATCTAAAACTGCTTGCGGGTAACCTCACACTTTTAATCCTGTTATTCCAGGCTTGGGTGATGCGTTTTACGGCACTGCCCCAGTCCCAACGCACATTCTTTTCGATTTCCAAGGCCCCCCATGTTTGGTCACGTGCCCACTTCCACTCTTATCTCATCCCTTTAAGCTCCCTTTTCCTATTTTGTGTGCTCATATAAGGTCACAGCTGGCTTTTTGTTTGACAGGAGCCGCTGCATTTGTTAAGGAGTCCAGAGGAGGTGTAATCTCTTCCTATCTCATGCTGAGCATAGAAACGTTTTAAAAAGCAAACAACCAGCAAGACATTGATTTCCAAGACTCGTTGCTGAGGAGACTCCCACAGTTGTCCTGGGTTTCAGCCAAGAGTGATATAGAAACATAGATCTGGAAGGGACTTCAAAGGTCATCTAGTCCAACCCCCTGCACAGTGCAGGAAATTCACAACTATCCCCCCCCCCTTTTCCCCAGTGAGACTTGCTCTATGCCCAAAATAATCTCCAGGATCACTGGTCCATCTGGCCTGGAGGAAAATTCCTTCCCCAAAATGGGGATCGGTATTACCCTGGGCATGTAAGGAAGGGCCATGAGAGCTTAGCACTGACTCATCTCTTCCTGCTCTGCCTCTCGCAGTCTGCCTAAGTGCACAAAACCAGCATTGCTGCCAGATGGCCATTTAGCCTGTGCTTAAAAACCTCCAGCGAAGGAGAGCCCACCACCTCCCGAGGAAGATTGTTCCACTGAGGAACCCCTCAGTCAGGAAGCTCTTCCTGATGTTTAGCCAAAGACGCTTACGATTTAATTTCAATCCCTTGGTTCTGATCCGACCTTCTGGGGTAACAGAAAACAGCTCCACTCCATCCTCTTTTAAATATTTGAAGAATATTTAACAGGCTAAACAGACGCAGCTCCTTCAACCTTCCCTCATAGGCCTTGGTCTCCAGACCTCTCCCCATCTTTGTTGCCCTCCTTTGGATGCGTTTCAGCTTGTCAACATCCTTCTCAAATTGCGGTGGCAAATAACAACACAATACTCCACGCGAAGTCTAACCAGAGCAGAATAAAGTGTTGCCATTGCCTTATGTGATCGGGACAACATAGATCTGTTGATTCAGCCCAAAATCACATTTGCCTTCTTAGCTACCTCATCCCATTGCTGACTCATGTTCAGTGTATGGTGTGCTAAGATCCCTAGATCTTTTTCGTATGTACTACTGTCAATACAAGTCTCCCTCATCCTATAATTAGGTGTTTGATTTAGCCCAGTTTTCCATCCTTTTTCAAATGCAATGTTTTTATTTTCTTATTTAACAATAACAACAATACTAATAATAACACAGAGTTAGCTTTTCACCAGTACAATTGATAAAATTGTAATAAAGTAAAGTACATAACAATATCTCATTGTTTCGAGATCATCCCGTATCTTCATTTTGTCCTCTGTATTTGCCGCTCCTCCCAATTAGTATTGTTTGCAAATTTAGTGACCAACCCCTTTATTCCTTCGTTCAAGTCATTTATAAAGATGTTGAACAACACAGGGCCCAAGATAGATCCCCGAGGCACTCCACTTGTTACTCCTCTCCAAGAGGGTGAGGAAACCATTAACAAGCACTCTTTGGGTGTGATCTGTCAATCAGTTACAAATCCACCTACCAGTAATAGGATCTAGACCACATTTTACCAACTTGTCAACCTGAATATCATGTGGAACCTTATCAAAAGCCTTACCAAAATCAAGATAACTTATGTCCACAGCCTTCCTCTGATCCAACAAGGTAGTAACTGTCAAAAAAGGAGACAAAGTTAGTCTGACATGATTTGTTCCTGAGGAGCCCATGCTGGCTCTTAGTAATCATAGCCATTCTTTCTAAATGCTGAAGGACTGACTGATGATTTGTTATAAATCCTTTCCACGTAAAGACATCAAGCTGATGGGTTGGTAGTTACCTGGATCCTCCCTTTTCCCCTTCTTGAAGATGAGGACAGCATTTACCCACCTCCAGTTTACTGGCATTTCGCTCATTCTCCAAGAATGCTCAAAAATAATGGACAGAGGCTCTGAAAGTACACCTGCAAGTTCCTTTAGTACCTCTGGATGCAGTTTATCTGGCCCCGAGGACTTAATTTCATTTAAAGAAATTAGGTGTTTATTTACCACGCCACGCTTATCCTAGGCTGCAACTCCCTTCCCTCGTGTGCTCTTTTTGCCAGGTTGAGCATTTCCCCTGTAAGAGAAGACTGAGGCAAAGTAGGAATTGAGCAGTTCTGCTATATCTTCACCTGTTAAAATTTCACTTTCCTCTCCCCACAATGGGCCTACCACTTCCTTGTTCTTGTTCTTGCTCCGAACGTAACCAGAGAATCCTTTTTGTTAGGTTTAGCATCTTTTGCTAACTCAAGCTCATACTGAGCTTTAGCTTTCCTAATTCCCTCCCTACAAGCACTGGCTATTTGTTTATATTCATTCTTGGTTATATAGCCTTCCTTCCATTTCCTAAATTATTAGTCTTTTTAATTCTCAGATCTTTAGAAATTATTTATGGAGCCACCCTGGCTTCTTTGGGTTCCTCCTTTTTTTGTGTGTTCATTAGAATCATGGGTGATTGTGCCTTCAGTGTCTCGCTTTTAAGAAACTCCCACCCCTCTTGAACTCTCTTCCCCTTAAGTATTTCCAACCGTGGTAGTCAGCATAACTTTAAATCTGTTAAAATGAGCTCTTCTGAAGTCTAACTTTTACGTCTGACTAAGTACAGTTTTTCCTTTCCTCAAGATCTTAAATTCCAAAATTATGTGGTTGTCACTAGTCTGGGTGCTCACTACTTTCGCCTCATCAACCAGTTCTTTCCTTTTGGTGAGAACCAAGTCCAAGATAGTAGACCCCCTTGTTGCCTTCTCTACCTTCTGGAAAATGAGATTTCAGTAAATACCTATCAGGTCATAGTCTCTTTCCTGCGTTAGGACCTCAAGTTCCTCCTGCTTGTTTCCCATACTTTGTGCAAGGGGGTAGAGACATCGGGATCCATGGCTGATGTGCCCTGAGGGTTTCATTTCTGTGCTTACATGCAAATTAATGGGTCCCTGCATATGTGCCCTCTCTCTGCACATCTTATAGTGTTCTTATCTCCAGTTACTGGTATCATACTAGACTTTGAATTTTTGTCTCCCTCCCCCACAGGGATTAGTTTAAAGCCCTCCTTATCAGGTTTGCAAGGCTGTTTCCAGACACATTTTTCTCTGCCCTCATGAGGTCTCCTGACAGAAGACCTTCACCTTGAAAAGTGTAAGCCATGGTCTACAAAACCCAGCTTTTCCTGACAACACCATCTATATAGCCAGTTGTTTGTTTCCATTATTCTTCTCTCTGTTCTTAAGCCATGGCCTTCGACAGGAAGAATCGACAGAATCATAGCCTGTGCTCCCAGGTCCTTCACCTTTTTTACTCATAGTCTCTTTTAACATCAAGACATTTCACAACAGGAGCCCAAATTTTGGCCGGTTACCAAGATGAAACCAAAACCTGTTCCCCTTTGGTATTGCAAGATGTTGCAATCTCCTATGTATTGTCAGTTTCAGCAGTTCCAGGAAATTGTTCCTTGATATCCGCATAACAGACGTCAATCTGATAAATTCTGTTTACCTTTTCCTTCTAGATTCATAGCTCAGTGCAAATAAATATGAAAGGCCAACGCTTATTAAAAAATGGAAGATGTTGCAAGAGGTATGCAACTTCATAGCATGGTGCTTTCTGACGTTACTTTGCAGGGCAGGACAGTGATTATCGAACAGAGTTGGGGAAGCCCCAAGGTGACAAAGGATGGCGTGACAGTCGCCAAGGCGATCGACTTGAAGGACAAATACAAGAACATTGGAGCTAAGCTGGTTCAAGATGTCGCCAACAATACCAACGAAGAGGCGGGAGACGGTACCACCACTGCAACAGTGCTGGCTCGTTCGATCGCCAAGGAGGGGTTTGAAAAGATCAGCAAAGGAGCAAACCCCGTGGAAATCAGGAGAGGTAATGAGATGAGTAAGGTTGACTTGTGGCCGGTGGGTGCAGTGTCAGAATTTCGTTTACACTTTGAGCCCTTCAAAGTAGCTTGGCAAGCATCTTGACACTGGTCAGTGTGTTGCGCTAAAATGTTGTGCTTTGGTTTTCTTACTTTTTGGAATGACTGCTTCCTTAGCTCCAGATGGTCAGCCGTGTTGGTCTGAAGCGGTAGAACAAACGAAGGTGTGCCAGGCACACGCAAGCTCACACCCCGAATAAACCTTTTGTCGTGCTCAGGGTTGCCCCCAGGTCCGGAGTAACCAGTAGCCGTGTTGGGGTTTTAACGAGGAAGCAAGTGCCTCAGATTTGGAAGTGCTGGGGGTTGCGCCACGCCCCAGACCCCCTTCCTCAGAGTGATCACCTTTTACGTTCTCTCTCGATAGGCTAGGAGATCAGCTCTGAATTCCTCCCCGGCACTCTTCCGCTTCCTGTCTTTTATATCTTTCCCAGTCCCTTAGTGCCACCCCTTTCTGTGATCCCTAAACCTATAGGCTATCCCACCTGCCCATCACCGTGATCTCCTATCACATAGAGTTTCCCCTTCTATGGTCCCGCCCCCTGTATACTCAGCATTTCTAGCCTGGAACGGGGCTTGTAAGGGAGTGCCTACTTCCGGCAGAGATGTTGATACTCGATCCAGCATTCTCGTCGGCTACAACTTTCAGGGGTAAGGCGGGGATGTTCCACCTGGCTTTCTTTCAACCGGGCTCTTCCCTCCCCCTTCCGTAGCCGCAGAACGTGGTCCAGACTGGACCTTTCCTCCCGCCCCTTCTCTTCCACGCTTCTCCTGTAGCTCTGTGGATGCTGCGGGAGGGGTCTGGGTTCTCGGGAGCCCTCGGAACCACCCCCCTTGCAATCTCCGTTGGCTGCCGAAATTGTGGCCCCGGGTTCTTTGTAGCGTGCCGCGCCAGTCCTTTTTTGTTCTTAAAGGTGCCTCTGGACTCTAAATTTGTTCTACTTCCTTAGCCTGTTTGCCCGGGCTGAGTAGCATTTGCTGTAAGGCAAGCGTTTCGCCTTCCCCATCCTCTGTAGCTCCTCCATTTTGTGGCTCTTTTCCCTGCCCTCGATTCTGTAGCATCTCTCAATCCTGTCCCAAGAGTGAGCACAGGAGACCAGCAGCCCCCACCAGTTGAATCTGGATGGGCAGCAATCCAAGGACAGAGCCTCCTGGGTTAGGGCACCAGAATTATGCAGTTCCCTCCCTCCCCAGGGAGATTAATCTGTCGGTTCTATTATTGTTTTCCACCAGGGTGAAGACTTTTCTGTCTTATCTGGCAGACCCTGACTGGCTCTTATCTGTTTTATTTGCTTATGTTTTTTATTTCTATAGGGTGGTTTTAAAAGTTGAGTTTTACTTTCTTTTAGCTGTTCTCCACCTTGAGGGCCCTAGGCCGGCGCAAAGGTGGCGTACCAACTTTAAAAATAAATCCACGAAAGGGACTGCAAGGAAACAGGTGTCATGTCTTTCAGAGCTGCTTAAACCAACTTAGGATTGATTTGCTGTTACCTACATAGAAGGTTGATGAATCTGGGCATTCTTGTGTGTTTTTTCTCAGGGGTGATGCTAGCTGTAGATGCTGTCATTACCGAACTGAAGAAACTGTCCAAACCTGTCACGACACCAGAAGAAATTGCTCAGGTAACGCCAGCTCCTTCCAAACACGCATTTACTTTCTCCATCGTTGCTTGCGCCAGGTGGGCAGAGACTGCTCCGAATGTACCGCTTTATTTTGTCATAGTTTATTTCTTTTTAAAATACTGAGGAGTCAGACCCTTTGCTTGCACTTACCCATGTTGTCATCAGTGCCGTCATGCCTGTGGCTGTGTTGTTAGGCATTTCTATCCTTTTGAAGACAATGGGTTTTTTGCTACCAACTTCAAGCTGACTGACTTGTTTGTTTTTGCAGGTTGCCACAATATCTGCAAATGGAGACAAGGAAATAGGCAACATAATTTCTGACGCTATGAAAAAAGTCGGACGAAAGGGTGTTATCACGGTGAAGGTTAGTATTGAGGGTGTTTGCGTGTGCACGCCTATGATCGTGCCTCTTTCATGGACTGACAATTTTTTTATATACTAAAAAATTATTTCCCAAAAAGATACATTTCTCTTAATACAAAACATTATTAAATGTACATAAACTTTTTAATAACAATCCTACTTAACAACAACATGACTGACAATTTCTTAACGATGCTAGTTGTTAAAACACTTTAAAAATCACCATGCAGTAAAGACTAAAGTAGCTTTTATTAAAAAAAAAAAAAGATATTGCCATTTCTGGAATAGAAGGCTCAGTGCTGTTGAAAAGTGCCGTCAAGTCACAACCAATGTTCCCTCTAAGCTGTGGAGCCTTGTGAGCAAAAATTCTACTTTGTGAGCTCCTGGCATTAAAGTTGTGAGCGAGCGATTTGGCTGCTGCATGAATTAGTTTGCCCTGGAGCCATCCTTCCTAAGACAAAAATGTGTGAGTCAGAGGCTAAAAAGCTGTGAGCTAGCTCACACTAACTCAGCTTAGAGGGAACACTGGTCACAACTGACTTATGGTGACCCCTGGTGGGGTTCCAAGGCAAGAGACATTCAGAGGTGGTTTGCCTTTGCCTGCCTCTGCGTCACGACCCCGGTCTTCCTTGGAGGTCTCCCATCCAAATACTAACCAGGGCTGACCCTGCTTAGCTTCCGAGATCTGATGCTGTTGGGCTGGCCTGGGCATGCTCAGTAGTACTGAATTATCTTTCTAAAATATAGATTGGACACTATAGGCTTATCGTCTGCATCGTCTGGGTGACAGGGTTGCTAATGATGGGGAAGGCCCTTGAGCAAATAGCGTGACAGTGGGGAAGGAATGGCTGGAGCGGGAAGAGAGACTTTAGCTCAGAGATCAAGAAGCAATTGATACGTAGCGTCCTTTCAACAGATTTTATTGATTTTTGCTCAAACAGGATGGGAAAACACTGAACGATGAGCTGGAAATCATTGAAGGTATGAAGTTCGACCGAGGGTACATCTCCCCCTACTTCATTAATACAGCCAAAGGTAAGTTGAACAGGTGTCTCACTGGGGCCAACTAGATTGGACTCACCCTTTAGTTTCAGTTGATAGTTCTTAAGTTAGCTTAAAAACAGTGTGTGAATCTCAAAATACTCAACTAAAGCGAGTTCAAAGAGTCCTTGTATACCAGGAACCTTTCAGAGTCTTCTGTAATTAGCAGAGGTGGTGCTTTTTAAAACAAGAGGCAGAAGAATATGGCTGTGTTTTGGAGCAGAGGATGCGCTGCTGGTTTGATTGGCATTCGAGCTTTGTTCATAAGCCTCTGTGTTTTTGCGCGAATTATTTGGGAACACAGTTTAATGGCATTCCTTCCCTTTACAGGACAGAAGTGTGAATTCCAAGACGCTTACATTTTACTCAGTGAAAAGAAGATTTCCAGTGTTCAGTCCATAGTACCAGCTCTTGAGATTGCCAATAATCACCGTAAGCCTTTAGTTATTATTGCTGAAGATGTTGATGGGGAGGCCCTCAGTACCCTCGTGTTAAACAGGTAGGCTTGAAACCGGTTCGTTGTTACCCCTAGTCCTTTCCCACTCTGCCAGAAGCTATACATTCTCTCGATATTGACCCTCACCAGGTATCCTCACGGATTTCGGCGGGACTTGCTTCCAAGCAAACATGCTTCGGAGAGCAGCCCTGGCCTTTTGAGTATTGAACTTTTAAAGTTGCTGTGTGCAGATTTGGAAGAGCAGAGCAAGCCGGGGGAGGAGGGGAAATCCAGCAACACCTCAGTGCTGGTCATGACAGTGAAATTAATGGGGTGGCAGAAGCTGGCATTGAATGGCTAGTGAAGGTGGGAGTGGATGTTGATCATAAGTTCAGTATAAACTTGTGTAGGATTTGCAAGTTAGAACAGAACTAGCACTGTCAACTTTATATAAATTTAAGCTCCAGGTTGTTTCTACTACATAGGCCGTTCTGGCGAAAATCTTACGCCAACACAAATGGTTGTGGTATGTCAGACCTGAAGTATCCACAGCCGGGTATTCTGATCAGAGATACGCTTGTTCTTTTTCCTCCTCAGACTGAAAGTTGGTCTACAGGTTGTCGCTGTGAAAGCACCAGGTTTTGGTGACAACAGAAAAAATCAGCTCAAAGATATGGCAATCGCCACTGGTGGCGCAGTAAGTAAACATTAAAGTGTCTCGAGTCCTGACTAGAGCTCCTTGTGGACTAAGGCATAGCTCTGGCACATGATTTGGCACTGACGTGAGCAAGCCGCTTCCCTTTTATGCTCACTGGACCAGAAAACTGGCTTGACACAGAACTGGGATGGGATGCGAGCTGATCAAAATCCCAATTTAGGCTGACGGGGTCTGAACTTGCAGAGGCTGAGATGGAAAAAGATCTCGGGGTCGTAGTGGAAAGAGCTCGACGGAAGCGTCAACCCAGCGTGCAGCAGTGGCGAAAGAGGCAATCTTTATGTTAGGGGTTATGAGGAAAGGGATTGAGAATAAAACGGCTGATGTTGTCATGCCCCTGTAGAGACCTATGGTGGGGCCTCATTTGGAGTGCTGTGTACAGTTCTGGTCACGGCATCTCCAAAAGGACACTGCAGAGCTGGGAAAAGGGCAGAGGAGGGTGACCAAGAGGATGAGGGGGTTGGAGCACCGTCCCCAGGAGGAAAGGCGGAAGAGTCTCTGGGACTGTACAGTTTAGAGAGGACTAAAGGGGGGGGGGACATTCATTTATTTATTATATTTTTATCCCGCCCTCCCTACGAACAGGCTCAGGGCGGCTAACAAACAAGGGCACTGTGTGCCAAGTATAAAACATTAAAACACACAAAAACAGTCATTTTATCAAAATTAAAGTACTCAGTGACTTTAATATTAATCGTTTAGTCAAATCAGTCAAGTAAAGATGGTGATCAGTAGATGTTACTCAAGCCCGAATCGGCAGTACCACTCCATCAGAATACTGTAACTCAATCTTATAGTGGGCCATCGCTCTTATAATGGACCATCTCAGTGCCCCATGTTCCTATGAGCTAGCTGGTGGTGGTGGCGGCGGCTCCTAATTAAAAGCCTGGCGGAAGAGCTCCGTCTTGCAGGCCCTGACCTCCTCGGAGCTCGTTCCACCAAGTAGGGGCCGCCACTGAAAAGGCCCTGGCCCTGGTTGCCACAAGCCTGGCCTCCCTGGGGCCTGGAATCACCAGTCGATGTTGAGCCCCCGACCGTAGTGCTCTCTGGGGTATCAGTGGGGAGGTTTATAAAATTATGCATGAGGTGGAAGTGGAACGAGTTGACAAAGGGAACTTTTTCTTCCTCTCCCAAAAGACTGGAACTCGAGGGCATCCAGTGGAGCTGATGGGCAGTAGGTTCAGAATGAACAAAAGGAAATACTACCTGACACAGAGAGTGATTAGAATGTGGGATTTGCTGCCAGAGGACATAGTGATGGCCCCAGGCATAGGCAGTTTTCAGAGGGTTCAATAGATTCATGGAGGATAAGTCTGTCAGTGGCCCCTTGCCACAGTGGCTGAGGGGAACCTCCCAGGCCCTCATCCTCTGAATCCCAGGGCCAGAAGGCAACCTCAGGGGAAGGCCTTGGCCTCTATGCCCTGTTGTTAGCTGTCCAAAGGAACTGGGTGGCCACGGTGGGAGATAGGATGCTGGACTGGATGGGCCTCTGGTCTCTGATCCAGAAAGGGCTCTTCTTATGATGTGAAAGTGGGGGAGTAGGTGGGAGTCAGAGGCCTGTTTTCCAGAGTCAGCCCGTATTTTGTGCTGAGGAATAATCGTTGTTGCAGAACTGTGAACACCAGTAATGCAGAGCTTCTCATCTGTGCCTCACTAATCATATTCATTAATGTGGCCTGCTGATCTACAGATGAAGAGCAGCCTTTCCAATTAGTCAGGCACCTTAAAAGAAATAAAAACAGTGCAAATTCAGTGTTCAACACAGAGACTGCATAGTTGTCAAGGGTAGTGTAAACAGGAGAGCTGTTGTGCAAAGATGAAATTGTTTGTAAGTCACAACAACCTGGGAGCCCTGTTCACAAGTTATAATGAACACACTTGGAATCCAGGTAGCGTGTACACTTGATTTTTATATGTGCCTTCAGTAATTTTCTCGTTGCATTCATGATATGCACAGCTGAATTTTTATTCAGGTATGTGAGCAGGGCTCCTGGAATTTACAGCATTTTCCTAAGCATAGTTGCTGAGTCTCACTGAGTTCTGCATGCTGACTTCCTAGTCAGCATGTATAAGAATTGCAGCCTCGGTAACCCTTCTCTCTCCTCTAGAAACCACAGATTGGTGGTTCTTCCAGCAGTTTGGTCTAGTGGTTAAGAGCGGTGAACTCTAATCTGGAGAACCGGGTTTGATTTCCCCACTCCTCCAGATTCGGCCAGCTGGGTGACCCTGGGCCAGTCCCAGGTCTCTCAGAGCTCTCTCAGCCCCACCTATGTCACAGGGTGTCTGTTGTGGGGAGAGGAAGGGGAAGGAGATTGTAAATCGCTCTGAGTGAAGGGCAGAGTATAAATCCACCTCTTTTTCTTCTTTCGTGACTGATGGGTTGGGATTTTGCAGACTCTGATACAATGAGTTTGGTCCTTGAGCTTTTAATGTTTCCTGTTCCAGGTGTTTGGGGAGGAAGGCTTGACCCTAAATGTTGAAGACATTCAGCCTCACGACTTTGGTAAAGTTGGAGAAGTCATTGTGACAAAAGACGATTGCTTGCTGCTTAAAGGGAAAGGGGATAAAGGTGCCATCGAAAAACGCATTCAGGAAATAATTGAACAGCTGGAAGTGACAAACAGTGAATACGAGAAGGAGAAGCTGAATGAACGCCTGGCTAAACTTTCTGACGGAGTCGCTGTACTAAAGGTACATGTCCTTATGAGTGAGTGTGTGTGTGTGTCTGTCTGATCTTAATTGCATACACACACACGCCACTCTACAGTCAGAGCTCTCAGTTCTCGTTTGCATGGGAGGTTTGAGGAACACCTTGTAGGCACTAATGTGGGTGTCATGATCTGGGCTGTGCCACCAGAGGCCTACTAGGTCCAGGGAGCCTGGCTAGCAGTAGGTGAGGCTGGGCCTACAACTCCCAGAAGCCCCTGAGAGGTTTTGGAGCCAAAATTGACCAATAGGGAAGAAGAGGGCTGGGGAACTGAAGGGCTGGTGCCAGAGCAGAAGCTGTTCTTTCTTCCAGAGGGCAGAGCCGAAAGGAAGGCTGCTGCAGGAAGAAACCCTCATCCTGAGGGACGGGTGAGCAGTCTAAGGCCACTGCAGATCGCTAGGGACAGTAATATATTTAGACGCGTTGGGGCATTTGATTTCTTTTCTTCTCACCCACTTACTGTTCTTACTCTGCACCTTGTTGTTTGACCTCTTATAACATAAACCTTTTCCTTGTTTCACTCTGCCTGGTCCTCACGCCTGTTATTCGGCCAAAAGGGAGGTCTGAAGGTCTCAGGAGGGTGCTCTGGGCCTTCTCAAGGGAACCTCTATCCAGAGTGATGGCAGCGTCAGGTGACACCCCACCTGAGCCGTGACAGTGGGTATCCCAGTCTTGCCATGGGGGGAGGGGGGTAGTGTCAGTGTCAGTACCAGAAAACTCAACGTGATTTTGGCTATTGCTGAAAACTGTAAAGGGGGGGGGGGGCGTCGGCAAATGCTACTATAACTCTGAACGACAACATTCTGAGTGATCTCCAGCCCTCACCTGGAGATTGGACACATTTTACCTCAGAAGAGCAAAACTGTTTAGAATGTTAGAGGTAGAAGCCAATCAAGTCGCATATGCAAACGACCTCTGTGTTCCGAGGCAAAGGCCAATGAGGCTGCATATGCAAATAAACTCTGTGTTCTGACTGGCTATGGGGGGGGGAGAGGAACAGCAAACTGTTTAGAATGTTGGAGGCAGGACTCAGGCAAAGCAGCCAGTGGATAGGGAGACCCTCTGAATGACAGATCAGAGAGCGAACTGATTTTGGAGCGTGTTGGAATGTTCTAGAGAAGTGCCACCACCAATGTTCCCTCTAAGCTGTGGAGTCTTGTGAGCCAAAATTCTACTTTGTGTGCTACTGGCATTAAAGTTGCGAGCGAGCGATTTGGCTGCTGCATAAATGAATTTGCTCTGGAGCCATCCCTTCCTGAGCGAAGACAAAAATGTGTGAGCCGGGGGCCAAAAAACTGTGAGCTAGCTCACGCTAACTCAGCTTAGAGGGAACACTGGCCACCACCATTCGGCTTTTATTTATAAGGGAGATAGGGAGCTTTGGGTGGCCTTTGAAGCTGTGTGCCATTCATTCCTGTTCTTTAAAAAAACCTGTGGCTTTTTTAACTGACTGTGTTGTTTGGAGCATCAAGCAGCAGATAGTGTGGAAGACTGATGCCTTCATGAACACGGCACTTTTGATTGTGGTCCTTTGCCAAGACCTTAGACTTGCACAACTAGGACTGTTTCCCCAGAGAAGATAGAAAGAAAAACTGTACAGGGCCAGCTTAAAATAGTTCTCTGGAGCTTAGGTTTTTTTTTAAAAAAATCCATAAATATTCAAAATTTTGCAGTTAAGACTTGATAGGATAGTAAAGATTGCATACATTTCAATTTCCCCGCAAATTTCCATTTTTTTTTTCTGGTGGGGAAAGAACCCCTGGGGGGGGGGGGAGTGTAACGTGAGATGTAAAATTTCCAGAAATCTTACATCTCTAGTTACCGTTCAGATTTGTAATGAAGACACTACAGAACTCTTTGACCAATGGATAAGGCAGCGTCGTAGCAAAAATACATGGCGCTGAGATGGGGTCTATTTAGTATTCAGCTCAGCTGGGATCACAGCTTGCCTCAGCTTGCCTCAGTTTGCCTGAACATGGAGACAAGTCAGTTGCTTAAGAACTGCAGAAAACTCTGAATGGACACGAAATTAGCGGCCAGTTCCCTGGCTTCAAGGTGAGATTTGCTCCAGCAGAGCACCGTCTGTAACACCAACTTTGATAATCACGCAGCTGTCGCTTCGTGCAACGTATTGTGTTAGTCTTGTGGGCAGACATCAGAAGCTTTGCAACAGAATATTCAGTCATGGGGGGGGGGGCGCCTTAGATGACCTTGGAGGAACATTCTGTCCTGGGTGGAGGAGACCTTGTCAGGCGGGTGCCATCAATTAATGCAGCGTCAGAGACAGACGTCTGCTTGCTCCCTCGATCTGCTGTGCAGAAGGGGGGAATTGGCACATTTATCCCCCCCCCCCCCCCCAGCATTCATCATTAGTGTGTAGAATGAGACAGGCAGTCACCTGTGCGGCCGGGGGGTCCTCACCTTGCAGTCTGAAGTAAATAGTTTCCCAGACATTCAAAAAGCAGGAAAACTTTGAGACCTTCGAAAAACTGGCTTCTTTTTTTAATCTCAGGTTGGGGGAACAAGTGACGTTGAGGTGAATGAGAAGAAAGACCGAGTCACAGATGCCCTTAACGCCACACGTGCGGCCGTAGAAGAAGGCATCGTTCTCGGAGGGGGCTGCGCGTTGCTGCGTTGCATACCGGCACTCGACAACTTGACTCCACTCAACGAGGATCAGAAGATGGGTAAGTCAGTCGAGTTGTGAGATGAGTCCAGCCACGCTTTAGAATGTACTGCTCGCCTCTAGACCCAGGAATGTTTTTGTGTCTTCTTTCGGTTTCTCAAAAGATTAGCGTTGCTGTTCTGTGGTTTGGGTCTGGAGATTCCACCGCACAAGCAGAAGGCACCTCCAGTTGGGAGAGGGGGGTAGGAAATTTGGCCCAAGGAGATGAGAGCCATTTTATAAGCAAATGGTGCCTCAGGGATGCAGCTGGATTGTGGGGGCAATCCTCCACTGTGGAGAGCCAGTTTGGTGCAGTGGTTAAGTGCGCGGACTCTAATCTGGGAGAACCGGGTTTGATTCCCCACTCCTCCACTGGCACCTGCTGATGTGACCTTGGGTCAGTCACAAGCTCTGGCACAGCTGTCCTTGAAAAAGAGCAGTTTCTGTCAGAGCTCTCTCAGCCCCACCCTCCTCACAGGGTGTCTGTTGTGGGGAGGGGAAGGGGAAGGGGAAGGAGTTTGTAAGCCGCTCTGAGACTCCCAAGTGAAGGGCCATGGGGTATAAATCCAATCTCTTCTTCTTCTTCTTCCGGTGGTCGGAAAGCCCGCTTCTGCAAGATCAGCATCTTCCACTGAGCCCTTGAAAGCATCCGGCCTCAAGGGAAAGAATGGCATCACTCAGATTGTGGTGGTGGAGGGCTGCGGTGCAAGAGGCAAGGGGATCGGACCTAAGCCAGCGCCCAGCTTCCCAGGCTGTTTGTAGCCCTTGAGCGCAAGAACATGAGGGAAGCCAATGTTGGGTCAGGCCAGTGGCCCCTCCACTCCAACACTCTGCCATCAGGAGGTCCAGCAGTGGGGCCAGGACTCCAGGAGCCCTCCCACTGCTGTCCCCCCCCCCCTTCCCGGCACCAAGAATACAGTGTGCATCACCTGCCCCAGACCAAGAGTCCCTATCTATACCTTGTGGCTAATAGCCACTGATGTACCTCTGCTCCAGATGCTTATCTAATTCCCTTTTGAAGCCGTCCATGCTTGTAGCTGCCACCACCTCCTGTGGCAGTGAATTCCAAGTGTTAATCACTCTTTGGGTGAAGGAGGACTTCCTTTTATCTGTTCTAACCTGACTGCTCAGCAATTTCATGGAGGGCCCATGAGTTCTTGTAGAGAAAAGTACTTCTTTCTCCCCCTGCTTCATCCCGTGCATAATCTTATAAACCTCAATCCTGTCACCTCTTGGCCGTCATTTCTCCAGGCTAAAGAGCCCCAAGCGGTTTAACCTTTCTTCATAGGGAAAGTGTTCCATTGAAGAGAATGAAAAAAAGACAAGCACATTTTCTGCCTGTCTTTCCCCTTCGAGTGGCAGTATTTATATTATATTATATTATTTATATATATTGTGAGCTACCGGCATTAAAGTTGTGAGTGAGCAATTTGTGTACTGCCTAAATTAGTTTGCTCTGGAGCCATCCTTCTTCCTGAGCGAAGGCTAAAAAACTGTGAGCTGGAGGCTAAAAAAGTGTGAGCTAGCTCACACTAACTCAGCTTAGAGGGAACACTGGTTATATACCTACTGGTAGAAGTTCCGATGGATATGGCCGGTTGCCGATGGTTGGATGGCCGGCAGGTGGGAGACGGCAACCTCGGGGAGGCCATCTGTGGACGCCCGCGGCCTCAACCAAAAGCCTGGCAGAAGAGCTCCGTCTTGCAGGCCCCACGGAACTGAGTAAGATCCCGCAGGGCCCTGATCTCGATGGGGAGCCTGTTCCACCAGGTGGGGGCCAGGGACCACCAGGAGATGTTGATTAACAGAGCGTAACGCTCTCCGAGGCGTATAGGGGAAGAGGCGGTCCCTTAGGTATGTTGGTCCAAGGCCGTATAAATAGCAGCTGAGCACTGGGAAGAAATGGTTTTGATAGAGAAAACTGTGTGCGGAAGGTATGAAATGCATGGCTGGTCCAAATCCAAATGTGATATGTGGCTGCTGTTTACACTGTAAAAATGCTGAGAAAATCCACTTGCAGACACAAGAGTTGCATCGGCTTCCGTTCTCAGTGTGGGCTGAATTTCGTTGTATTGAACCATAAAATGTTTCTGTGAACATCGAAACGACACAGGCACGGATTGGAACGAGGAGTGTTTTGCTTCGTTCTCCAGGCATCGACATTATCAAGAGAACACTAAAAATCCCAGCAATGACCATTGCCAAGAATGCAGGCGTCGAAGGATCGCTGATAGTGGAGAGAATCATGCAGAGCCCCCCCGAGATCGGCTACGACGCTATGCTTGGTGACTTCGTAAATATGGTAGAGAAAGGCATCATTGACCCGACAAAGGTAACGCTCACATTCTTCCACAACTCATGTTGTTAGATCTGTCGGCCATGTTCGACACGGTCGACCACCAGTTGCTAGCCCACCGCCTTGCCAATGTGGGAATTCAGGGGCTCGCCCTTCAGTGGCTTGCCTCTTTTCTTCAAGGTTGGGGACAAAGGGTGGCGATAGGGGATCGGCGGTCCCAGAGGTGGCCTCTTGAATGTGGGGTGCCTCAGGGGGCGGTGCTGTCCCCGATGTTGTTTAATATCTATATGCGCCCCCTTGCCCAAATTGCCCGGAGTTGTGGGCTTGGGTGCCATCAATATGCAGATGACACCCAGCTCTATCTGATGTTGGGCGGCTGGTCGGACTCCACCCCGGATGACCTTCATCTGGCGTTACAGGCCGTGGCTGGTTGGCTCAGACTGAGTCGGCTGAAACTAAACCTGGCAAGGATGGAGGTCCTGGGCCTGAGCCGGATCGGTGCGGGGTTGGGGCTCCCTCTCCCGACCTTCGACAGGGCGCCTTTGGTGTCAACAGCGGAGGTTAGGAGTTTGGGTGTACTCCTGGACTCATCTTTAACGATGGAGGCCCAAGTGGCAGCCACTGCCAAGTTGGCTTTTTACCATCTTCGGCTGGTGCAGCAGTTGGTTCCTTTCCTCGACCGGGATGACCTGGCTACAGTGATTTATGCGACGGTCACCTCGAGGCTAGACTACTGTAACGCGCTCTACATGGGGCTGCCTTTGTCGCAAATTCGGAAGCTGCAGCTAGTGCAGAATGCTGCAGCCAGGCGTTGATGGGTCTCACTAGACGGGACCATATCCGGCCTGCACTGAAAGCGCTGCACTGGCTGCCAATGGCGTACCGGATTCGCTTCAAAGTGCTGGTTTTGACCTTTAAAGCCCTATATGGCCAGGGTCCAGCTTACCTTAGGGACCGCCTCTCCCCGCATGTTCCCCCAAGGGCACTACGGTCGGGGACGCAAAATCTCCTGGACATTCCAGGCCCCAGAAACATCTAATTTGCAGTTACCAGGGCCAGGGCGTTCTTGGTGGCGGCTCCTACCTGGTGGGATGAGCTCCCACAAGAGATCCAGGCCCTGCGGGACTTGGTGCAGTTCCACAGGGCCTGTAAAACAGAGCTCTTCTGCCAGGCCTTTGAATAGGAGCCACTGCCGCCATCATCATGTTGCCACTGTCCCCCTTATTGGTCCCGCAAATTGACCACCCCCGCAGCGGGGACTGTTGGGGGTGCGAGACGTGCCTGGCAGAGGTCAACGATGTGTGGACGTATGTTGTTGCTGCTATGTTGATTGTTGTTAGTATTTTTAGAACCCCATCTTGAATCTTATAGTTAACTAATTTTGGAGCACCGTAAATTTTAGTGTACTGTAGTTATTGTATTTTATATTATTCTGTACTGTTTTAAAGTTTTAACGTGGGCATTCGTGCCCCTTGTGAGCCGCCCTGAGTCTTCAGGGAGGGCGGGATATAAATTTAAAGAGAAATAAATTTAATTTTTTTAAAAAAATTCTTACGTGACTAGAGCTGGCGTATTACCATTGCACTGAACAGAGTTTGAGTCCAGTGACGGCTTTTAAGACCAGCAAAGTTTAATTCCGGGTGTAAGATTTTGTGTGCATGCACACAAAAGTTTTATACCTTGAATACAACTTTGTTTGGTGGAGTGGTTAAGTGCGCGGACTCTAATCTGGGAGAACTGGGTTCGATTTCCCACTCCTCCACTTGCAGCTGCTGGATTACCTTGGGCAAGCCACAGTTCTGTCAGCTGTCCTTGAAAGGGCAGTTCTCTCAGAGCTCTCTCAGCCCCACCCACCTCACAAGGGTGTCTATTCTGGGGAGGGGAAAGGAAAGGAGTTTGTAAGCCACTCTTGAGACTCCTTTGGGTAATGAAGGGCGGGGTGTAAATCCAATCTCCTCCTCTTCTTCTAAAGGTGCCACTGGACTCAAACTTTGTTCCCTTGCTTCAGGCCAACATGCTGTCCACCTGCAATCATTGCATCGTGTGTTTCTCGACTTTCTTTTCAGGTCGTGAGAACCGCTTTGATGGATGCAGCTGGCGTCGCTTCCCTCCTGTCTACAGCTGAAGCCGTGGTGACGGAGATCCCGAAAGAGGAGAAGGAAGCTGCCATGGGGGGTATGGGGGGCGGCATGGGAGGGGGCATGTTCTAATCATCCTGGGGGGCTCGACGGATGTGCATCATGAACTATAACAATTGTGACTTGACAGTTGACACTTCAGGTCTTTGAGGGGCAGGGCGGCGGAGAGTGACTGCAGAAGGGGGCGGTGTTCAAAGAATCATTGTAACGTTCGTTACTGGATTTCAGTTGACACACGTATAATCGTTTACGGCCATTGTCCATGCTAAGCAGATAATTTATTTTGTACTTTGAATAAAAAGACATTTGTACATTCCTGATACTGGATGCAAGATCTGTGTACCAGTGTGCTCTAAACACAAATTAGCAGCAGCACGTCAAACAGGTCTGTCTGAATCAGAATTTATTGGTGCCTGCTATTGCTAAGAAATCCGAAAGCCATTGTGTGCAGAACAGAATTGACGAGGGGGAAATGTGTACAAAGTAGACAAATATACAATTATGTGACAACTTTATGTAATAAAAGATTGTTCAGAGATATGAAATGTTACTTAACTTATTCACAGAACATGGAATTAATCCTGTTTACCGGAGAGCCGAGAGGTAATAGTTCAGTTCATAAAATGCTCATTTTTCTCGAGGTGCAGTAAGGTTTAACCTTACTGAGGATGACACTGTCTTTTGGATGGGATCCTGTATGCCATTAACTTGTTCAAGTAGGAAAAGAGTTACCTTTTCAACACGAGGTCAGAACAGACACCCACAGAAGACTAGTTGCTCCATTGAGAGAGCCTGACCCAAATCCCCTCCTCTCTTAAACACTTTTTATTGCAAGACTTTAGAGTCAGCTTTTATTTTTGTACTGCACCAAGTACCATTTAGAGGACTGTGAACAGTCTTATTGCAAGTCGTTTATCAGCCTGGAAGGAGAGAACTCCCGAGTCCCCTTTTAAGAACAGAGTTGGCTGGGACAAGAGGGGTTCACCCCAGCATGAAAACCAGAAATGGGTGGCGAGGGCTTCCCACCTTGTGGAAAGAGAAAGGGATCCCCAGGAAGAGGTGAGCCATGACTCACAAAAGCTCCTCCCCTGCCACAAATTGTGTTGCTCACTAAGGTGCTACTGGACACTTGCTCTTTTCTGCTCCTACAGACTAACACGGCTACCCCTCTTGCTCTAACACAACCCTAGTCACTGTAAAAGTAAATTGATTTTTCCCTCCTTTGCCGCCATCCTTGCATAAAGGAAGCACAAAGGAATAGCCCTGTGCTCAGATGCTATCTGAGAGTGGCTTCCCATTCCGTCCCGGGAGTTCAGCTTTCGTCGGGGCAGCCCTTCTTTTCCCTGCTGCGTCGGCTTGTCGCTAAATTTATAAACACCGAAGGAAGCTTCTTGCTGTCTTTGGGACAGCGTCCCCTCCCGCTAGACGCACTGGTCTAGACACCTGCTTTTAAAGCCTGGCCTAACTTCTCGAACTGATCCGTTCTGAGGACAGACATTTCCATGATGGCTATGCTGCTTAGAAAAGGGGGGGCTGTCATGTCTGATGGGCACTGGTGTCAGGGAGGGGGGAGATGGCGGGGCCATGGGGGAAAGTAGCAATCAAAACCCTCATGTTTGAGAACAGTTGAAATATTCTAACAAGGCTGTACCATAAATTTTATTGATCGGGCACTGTTTTATGAAAGGCCACTCCACCCCCTCCCGTACACCCTCCTGTAACTTGCAGCTAACTGCCTTAAAAAAACTGGTTTATAATCTTGCTCAGAGCAAACATTTCCATCTCAAGGAGATTCCCTTATTAACTTTAATTTACAATGGGGTGTGCTGTCAGCTCCACGGGCTGTCAGCCATTTATGGAGGTCCTGCACCAGTCTGCGGTAACATTCTAGATTGCTTGATTATTTAACAAAACAGCCCTTTAACATTCATGCAGCGACGCGCACACTAGTGCTTTGCTGCCACTGTACAAGTCAAGAAACAGGCTTGCTCGCAAAACTGCCTTTGGTTTGTGTGAATAGTAAAAATAAATAAGTTTGAAAGACTAATAACTTAAAAACTTGACTGTAATAGTAAATAAAACACTGCAAAATAATAATAATAATAAGGCAGAAGAACTGCCAGTGCTGAGTCCGTTTATACAAACTGGCAAGATGGAGAAGGCAATTTTGGTGTAGACTGTAGCTGCCCTTCGGTCATGCTTATCAGCACCTTAAATTGCACTTGATTGAAACTTCTACATCATGTACATGCGCACTTCCTGTGCACGCTTTTGTACAGTAGTACACTATACATGATTGGCAAATGCCCCCGTGTAATTTGAGGCACACATGAAGATAAGTTTCATGTATGAACCAGATGTACAAATAATTTAACGTCGACTCCCCCCCCCCCCTTATGTCTGGTGCACTTCGTGAAACATCAGCTCGCGAGGTATGCTCGTCTCTGGACCGTACAGCTTGGAGGCCCTTCTTTCAAACGCTGCTACCATCTGCTTGACCACTTCGTCGAAGAACAGTGTGGCGAGCTGGGAGTGCAGGAGAGAGCGAAACTCGAAGGAGACCTGCAGAGGGAAGTCAGTGTGGGAGTTACTCTCTTGCAGAACGACAAAGGTGTGGAAACATTTCCGTGCGCACCTGTTTGCTCCTGAGCAGTTTGGCAGCCAGGGAGAAGAAGAGAAGAGATTAGATTTATACCCCGCCCTTCACTGCCCAAGGTGTCTCAGAGCGGCTTACAAACTTCTTTCCCTTCCCCTCCCCACAACAGACACCCTGTGAGGGAGGTGGGGCTGAGAGAGCTCTGACAGAAACGGCTCTTTTTCAAGAACAGCTCTTATCAGAACTACGGCTTGCCCAAGGTCATCCAGCCAGGTGCAAGTGGGGGATCAAACCCGATTCTCTCAGATTAGAGTCCGTGCACTTAACCACGACACCAAACTGGCTCTCAAGCAGAAATCACAAATCATTTCCGAGGGGAGCTGTGTTGGTTTGCGACAGAAAAGCAAGATCTGAGTCCGGTAACATCTTCGAGTCCAACAAGAACTTTCGGGGTGTACGATTCCGAGAGTCGACACTCCCTTTGTCTCTACTGTGCCTGAGAAGGGAGCTTTGACTCAAACGTTTACACGCTGAAACTCTTGCTGGTTTCTGCGGTGCCCTGGACTCAAGTCTAGAAGTTAACAGACTTTCAGATTACACCTGCGCGCAGATGGTTTTTAAAGTCTGGGTACAATGACTTCTACACAGAGCGTGGCCAGGGAGCTTTGAAGACATACACCGCTTATACACACACTGAATAATGCACCTTCAATCCACTTGAGTGATTCTTTGCAAGTGGCTTTTGCCGTCTGTCATGACCCCTAGTGGGTTCCCACCTTTTCTCTGCCACCACTCCCTCTAAGGTGAGTTCGTGTGGGCTAGCTCACAGTTTTTTAGCCTCCGGCTCGCATATTTTTGCCTTAGCTCAGGAAGGAGGGCTCCAGAGCCAACTAATTGATGCAGCAGCCAAATCACCCGCTCACAGCTTTGATGCCAGTAGCTCACAGAGTAGAATTTATGCTCACAAGACTCCACAGCTTAGAGGGAACATTGTTTAGGGTCCCTTGGGAAGGCCCAGAGTACCCTCCCCAGCCCAACCAAAATGCCCCTTTTAAGCCAAGAAATGTAGGCATGATGACCAGGCAGAGAACATGAAACAAATGGTTTATTAATACAGTAATGGGGCAAGGAAAACAAGACAAGGTGCTTAGAATATATAACAGTGTCTAAAGGAAAATAAAACAAATCTAACACGGCTACCTATTTCTCTTAACTGGTTACTATTCACGGCCCACAGCCTTTTATACCAGGCCTGTGCCTGTACTCACTCTGTCCCAAGTGAGGGATCTTTCCCCTCAGTTTAACTCTGTGAGAGAACAGAACGCAGTTCCACAGCCCACAATGTATAAGTCACAATCTCCTCATACAATCCCTTGACACCAATTGGTTACAACCGTCACCAAGCATTGTGGGGATTGTAGGCTGTGTCTGCTTTCCACTCCCACACACTCCCACACAGGTCTCCTGGGGCCTCGGCCTCACTAGGCCTTGTTTCCCAGTCCTACACATGTCATGACACCGTCTCACACAACAAAATCCAGTCGCAAAGTGCACTGAAAATGTATTATATAGTATGCGTGAAGGCACTTCACTCCGGGAAAAATCGGACAATCCATGAAAAAGAGAGAATGGCTTATAGAGTGCATAGGTGAAACTTGCACTTGTAAAACTTTATAAACTGCATGGTGAGACTTGCCTATCGCATAGTTCCAACACTGCAAATGAGCAAGGGTTAGTTCCTACCGTTATCGTGGACCCTTCAACAAAAAAAGCACCGGCCCACTCTTCGGAGAGGTGACCAGAGTTAAGGGAAGCCTCGCCAGCTCTTCGCACAGCTCTCCTGTGAGCAGTATTACTTGTGCGCACATTTTGTCAAACTGATAAGCTTATGTACTGTGAGTTTGCGGTACAGAACTCTCCCCTTCCTTCCTGCTTGGGAGAAGAAAGAGCTCCTGAGAACAGAGGGGCCCTTGAAAAGAGTGCAGGGTGACACGGGGCCCTTGGACACGGGCAGAAATCTCCCCCTCTCCCCCCAAAACAGCAGCAAGACGTTGGGCAAGGGAAACGTTTGCTGGCTCTCCTTCCTGCCACAGCACCCCCCCCCCCCCCGGCCCCCCCCCCGTTGCCAAGGGCACCCCCAGCCAGAAGAGATCTGTTCTGTGATCTCCTAAGAACAGAAGAATGCTGTTGCCAAGGGCACCCCCAGCCAGAAGAGATCTGTTCTGTGATCTCCTAAGAACAGAAGAAGAGCCCTGCTGGATCAGACCAGGGAGGGTCCATCTAGTCCAGCCTCCCGTCTCACACAGGGGCCAACCAGTTCCTCTGGAGGGCCAACAACAGGGCACAGAGGCC